TTATAGTTATAAAGACATATAATTGTCACTAAAGAATAAAAATAAATTATCTTTTCTTTACTTGGTAGCTACCACATCAGTTGGTACCAAACACATTTATATCATTTTCTGAATGCAAAACCCAAGGACAATCTCAAAACAATCAAAGGGGCATACCCTTTTACTACAAGAAATTTGATAGTTGAAGACTTAGGGCATGACTCGTGTGTTCCAAAATCTTGGTTGTGCATTGAATGTGGTTTAATGCATTATGTGTATGTTGATACAATTATGGTTTACACAACTTGCTGATTTTGGAAACTTGGGATATCATCAAGAATTGACTATAGCTAGGACTTGATTCTAGTACGGGAGATAGAGAACACCTTACATTAGAGTGCGCACTAGGGGAAGGTACCCATGAGTTAGTAGCCATAAAGTGATCCCGAGAGTACGGTTTTAATCCGGGCGATATCCGAGTATCCACATTGTTTGATTTCACTCTTTAAATTTCAAGTGTTATTCCTTGAAGATTTAACAACCTTTTCATGTTGTATGGAATATTCTAACTGTGTTTCATTGTTGCTTTATGCTAATATGACTTAGGAGTGATCATATAGAAACATCTTGACTCAGACGTTAGGTGGCATGAACCGTTTCGGTTGTTTCCGTATTATAGGCTTTAAGTTGATAACTTTGAATACCTATGTCTTGTTACGTTACACTATATGTTCCTATGTTGTTTAAATTGTATGAATGATGTAGTTTTGACATAGACGCTAGGTGGCATGACCGTATGAATTGATTTATAACAACTTAATAATTTGTAAAAAGTTAGGTCTATGCATGCTCATTTCCTACGAATAACTTGTTTACTCAACCTAAAGTTATCGGGTTATTTTTTAGGTAAAGAAATGTTGTTTTGGGATGCACAACATCCTTAAGCGTACTTGACTATCATGGAGCATTTTTGGTTTATTAATATGCATTTGTTAGCATATTATGCTTTATTTTGTTTTATTATGTCAAAACATGTAATTATTGTTCAAGCTATGTAATGTGCACTTAAATGCACCTGTTGTCACTCATTGGACGTGTATGTAATAAGCCCAAGGGCCAAAGACATTTATTTGATATGTATGCTAATTTAAATTCATAGTTACTTATGGAATTTCATGAGATTTTTGGTGTTGATAGGTCGTATTTTGTATATGATATGCTAGGAGGCCGTGGGCCATTGGAACACGTGTGTTTAGGCTAATTACACTTGCGTGCACATTCGTTTCAACCTAGAAATGCATTTAAGGTCAAATGCATACTTGGTGCAAAGTTGCATTTTCTGAGTTTTTGTCCTTTTCTGATCTAGGGGACATTATGGGTATTTCACAGTGTGTTTTTTTTTTATATTTTTTTTTATTTTCTTCTACTCTTTCGGGTAAAAAACTCAATTTTAGGGGGGGTTTCTTCTTCGTGTTTTTCTAGAAAATGTTGTTAAGGGTCCCATTTTTGCTTTCTGTTTTGGCAGATTTCAGAAAAGTCCATGTAGCAGCGTTTTGACCCTCTTGACCTATTCTGATCTAGGGGCATTTTAGGAATTTAATTTTTAAAATAAATTTCGGCCTTGACATAGTCACTTAGAAAACGTGATTTTAGGGGGGGGGGGGGGGGGAGTTCTTCTTCGTGTTTTTCCAGAAAATGTCGTCTTGGTCCAAAAATCCTGCACAAAGTTCATTTTTCTGGTTTATGCCATTTTCTTTAAAACTTGAGATTTTAGAACTTGGTACTATTCATCGACTTTTTTTTTTTTGAAAAATGTGTCGACCGATCCAAAACTTCCGGGGGCTCTTGTGGGTGTATTTTAAGATTGTATTTTCAATTTAGGCAATTTAAAAACCTCCCAAAGCCCCATTTCCTTTCCTTTGGCAGCAACTCGGAAAAATTTTAATCCTCTTAACTTGATTTATCTTGGGGGCATTTTAGCCATTTTTCTTTATTTTCCAATTTTGGTTTGAACCATGATTGATCAGAAAACATGATTTTAGGGGAGTTACTTCACAAAATTTTTCCAAAAAATTGTATCTTGGCCCTCAAAACAACATTTGTTTCCAAAAATTCTTGGCAGCAGCCCCTGTGCACCGTTTTGGGTCTAATTTATGAGACTTTGAAGTTTCATATCTTTATCATCTGGACTCCAAATCAGGCGATTCTTGAGTCCATTCTTATCAATTTTTTGTCGTCTATCCAACGGTGTACTCGGTTATGCCAGGATCTTTCTGAATAATTATCGGTTTACCCTTTTTACCGTATTTGCTCATTTTTCCTTGTTTTGTCGTTTCTCCTTCGTCCGAACTCCGAATCATGCGATTCTTGAGTCCATCTTGATTAATTTTTTGTTTTCTTTCAAGTGGTGTGTTTGATAACACCCAAATCCATATTTTTAGAAATAACCATTTTGCCCTTGGGGCTATTTTTGTCCGATTTTCTTGCAATTCGCTTCTGCTACTTTTTTTTGAGTTCCGTGACTTCCCATGAAGTTACGGATGTGTCTCAGGAATAATATACATTCTAGGGACATCATTTCCATGTAAAATGACTATTTTACCCCTGGGGGCTTATTTGTCATATTTTCGATCTTTTGCTTCCGCGTTAGTTCTTATTGAGTTCCACGACCTTATGGAAGGTCATCAAAGTGTCTTAGAGGTGTGTTGTGCCTTGGGAGACCGTTGTCTTATTTTTTGTTTTCGCATTTGGATCCGTTATCGGGTCAAATCTTCAGTTCATCATAGGACGCACTAGCTTCAAAAACTAGGGCCGTTACATCGACTTTGTATGTACCAATCAAAGAAGTATATGATCTTCAAACAATTATTATCTTTACATTGGTAGTGACATGAAAATCCCTTCAAACAATTTTGCATTGTAAAGTGTGAAATATTTGTGGATAACAACCCTAGTTTGTGTGGACTAGTGTCAGCCCCTTGACATTTGTCCAAGGGAAGACATAGGCATTTCAAGGCCATGCCATGTCTTGGGAACACCTTGGCTTTGATTAGACAACCATGAGGATTCTCAGTGGGTTGTCAGCATGCACAGGATGCTCAGCGTGCACACAAGATGCTCAAAAGGATACTTAGCGTGCACTAGGGTGCCCAGTGGCATTTTCGTAAATATGGTAAAAAATGAAGTTTGGAGTTTTGTCTCGGGATCTTGATGGGAGGTATCTTGAGTCCATAGAAGATGGTTGGCGTAGACGGCACTCGATTTGGATGTCGGGAATGGCCTGAAAGACCATTATGACTCCTCAAGCATATGTGATGTCTGCTCCTGTCAGAGTGCTGAATTTCCTTAGAACTATACTAGGGAGGGGTCTGTTGAGCACATTAGTTGGGCTATGGCATGGCTTAATTAGAGGGATTAGCCAACGTGCATGGGCACGTGTTGCACCACTCCAAGATGGTTGCATAAGAGCGGAGCATCCAAACTACAGAAGGGCAAATAAGTGTGTACCGACGCGCGCGCTGGTGTGCAGCGGCGCACGCGCGGGCGTTCAGGCGGGCGCGCGGACAGGTGTCCAACCCGATGTATACGCAGATGTCCAGGCGGGCAGGTAGCCTCGCGCGCATGGGCATTCAGGCACGGCACGCGTAGATGAGCACCAGCATACGCGCCGGTGCACTTATGGGTGTGCACCCAAGTGTGCACACGGGTGTGCATGGCTTGGCGTGCCGTGCACTCTGAGACATTTATATGTGGGTGCAGATTAGTGGGCTTGGCACGGGCTAGGTTCACAAGGTTGGCTCAGATGTTGCTTAAAGCGTGGACCACACAAGTCATGGTTTATGGTTACACAAGATGGCTAAGTGGGCTTAGTTGGTTGGGGTTAGTTACTAGCACTTTCCACTCATGTTCATATATTTTGGGGAGTGGGGGTGTGCTGAGTAATTTCCCATGCAAGTGGCATAGGTCTGAGAGGACAACACACAGGCGATTTGAGTCGGTTTTTCTCCACTATGTTGATATGTAGAAGGTGGCAGATAATGTGCAACTTCTTGTAGGCAGGTGGCATGAGCAGAGTGTGTCAACAATCTAACAGTTGGGCTTGTCAATTGCAAATGTAGTGCTGGCACCCTCTAAGGGTGCCAGTACGACCCTAGGTGGATGGGGGTGTCATCCACCACTTTAGTTGGCAGTTGTGGGCGGTTTTGAGAGTTTGTCTATATATTGCTAATGTGGGTTCTGTAGAAGGGAGATAGAGAGTGAAACATAGTGTTGTGTTGAGCCTTGGTTTCTTGTACGAATCTGTGTTCCTTTGTAGTATGTTTAATATGAGTAAAGGTTGGGGCTTGTCCCTGTAAACTGTGTGTGCCTTCTTTATACTTCAGTATTGTGTGTGTTGTATTGTGTGTTGGCTGAGACTTGGTGGCCCTAAGTGCCATTAAAGAGGCTAAAATTTGTGGCGTGATTTAGCCCTGTAACAACTAGCATTGAGGAAGAGTACATAAAACTTCATCTGCAAACGCAACAAAACTAAGGAAATCCACCACACATAATATTTCATACTAGACACTATCAAAGTCAATAATCAAAATTGTCCCATTGTTACATGAGACACCCGACTTTCAGGTGTTGGCAATTTTATAATATTCAATTCTTGCAAAGGAACAAAGCGGACATGGTCAAGCATAAGATGTGGTCTCTAAAGGAATTAAGCAAATACCAAGAGGGTTTGTGCTTGTAGAGAGAATAGGTCTGCGGGACAATATCTTAACTTAACAATGATGATCTATGAATCTGTATCCAACGCACAAAGATATGAGAAAAAAAAGAAAAAAAAAAGAAAAAAAGAAAAAGAAAAAAAAAGAGAGACACAGAGGGCCAATCTAGTATCAGAGAACAGAGGGCCCCCAAAGTGGAAATAGTATCAGTCATAGTTGATAACTCTTTTCTATCAATCCCACAATGGAAATTGGGTGAGACAATGCTCTCGACATAGGTCACGGCTGACTGGTACTGGTACCCGTTTAATGAAATGCATCCACCATTATATTCCTCAATCTTTTTTCTTTAAAATTATACATTACTAATATATCTTCCTCAGTTTTCTCATCTTCATCCATTTCCTCGTCATGCAAGTTCAACAGAAGTTCGTTATCCAGCTGTACACATAAGGATCGCAAACTGTACATATTATCAGGTATATAGATTGTAAATTTGGTCCATGACTCAGTAACCCCATACTCTTTCATCACCCAAACATCAAATTGGACAAAATAATCATGTTCCTTATAACAGAAGAGACACCCTCCAAGAACCCCCAAACCACTTGGTGCATGTGCTTTAGCAGGCAGCAAAATTCCATGTGAGTTAGGCAGCAAAACATCCCGGAATTTCTCGTCTGCTACATCAAAAGCAACAATCACAGGTGAATGATCCAAAGCCCTATTCGTCAACCAATGTATAGACCCATTTACAAAAACACCTGAGCGAGGCAGGAGAAAAGAATTATCATAAGGGAAGTCTTGGATCCATTTCCTTCTCCAAGAACTAGTTTTGAGTGAATGGACAACAACAAATGTATCCTTACAATCAGAAACTGCTACAACCTTGTAATTATCCATAGACGAATCGTACCCAAGTCCATATATGCAGAACCTGGAGGATGGATCGACCCCAAAATCGTAATCTGGTAATTTCTTGGACTCTAGTTGACGGATTCAACAAATACATGGGGGAGTCGTCGAGTTTATTCAGATTATTCAGAACAACTAGAAGCAAACCGTTGCAAGAAGCCACGAAATCGTCCAACAAGTATGTGTCTTTGATCCAAGGGAAATCAAGCTTCATTGCAATTACTTCATCGTTATTGGATGCTTCAGTGCGGTCGATGGAATAAAGAAAGTCAGAAACTAGAAAAACTTTCTCGGGTTTGTCGTTTCGACTGAGATGTGTTTTGGCAAAATTAGGGCTTGAGATGAGAGCAAACCATGACTTCGATACACACTTGAATCTGCAAAGACACTTCGCGGGGAGTCGAGACAGTATATCAACAACCATCTCTTCGGAAAGGAATGCGCAGATAGGCATTGCCACCTTCGCTGGCGGAAAGAGAAAACCGGAAAACTCCAAAGTCAATAAAAAGAGTCCCTCTTACATAGTATAAATAATATATAAATAAATAAAAATTATGATTTTTTTTTTTGTTTCCCGTACAAATAGTAAATTAAAAACTCACCAAGATTGGGGATATATATAGCACTCCTCATACAAAAAGAGTATGATAGGCAACGCAGAAAGAGTCCTTTCTTACATAGTAGAAATAATAAATGAATTTTTTTTTTGTTTTCCGTCACAAATAAGAAACTAAAAACTCTTCAAAATTGGATATATATAACACTTCTCCTTAAGTGTGTTACTCGGACTCCTACTTTTCCTCTAAAAGACAAATACATTGTGTAGAACTTTAATAGAATGATTAAATTATAAATTATAAATTATAAATTTCTTAGTATAAATTTTAAATCAATAAATATTTAGTTTATACATAATATAAATAATATTGTATTTGTATAGTTCTATAAATTTTTAGTTTGTAAATTTAAATTTATGGAACACGAGAATAAGTAATTTTCTATTTGTTTCAATTAGAACATGTGTCTGAAAAATTAAAAAATCCTTTTTTATTTTTTTTCCTTCTTAGCGACCCAGCTACGCGCGGGACTCTCCTCTATCTTCCTTTCTCTCTCCACAGAGAGAGGATATATTCTCTCTCTTCTTCTTTTCTTGATCTCAAACAATATATTCTCTCTTCTTTTCTCAATCGCATAGTTTCTTTTTTCAGCTCCTTCTGCAACACGATCTGGCAGATCTGTTGTCGTCCTCTGTTAGTAATCTCTCTCCATCTCCATATGGAACCTCCATTCGAAACCCTAGTACTCTTCCTCGCCACCTTCCTACACTGCTTGTGGTTGCCTCCAATCCAAAACCCTAAGTGTGAGTCTAAGGTAATAAGTGTAAAATCTTTATAATTTCACAAGAAACGCTATAATAGAAACCTATATATATATATATATATATATATACTTTTAGTCAAGAACTCTATCTAATATATAATTTGTTTATTTATTGCTAGTTAATAGGTCTTTAACTAAGGAGATATTGGGATATGCAAGTGTGGACTACAGTTTACCAACTCTAGCATTGAGCAAATCATAGACAAGCTTTTAGCTTCATTCTTACTATAATTTTCAAGTTCTGCTCCATTCCTGTATGATATTTTTTTCTCTTTATTAAAAGTTAATGATTATTTTGTTTTGGAGCTGAAACTAGTTATTCATTTATGGAGCAAGTTTGGAAAATGAATGATTATTTATTAACTTTTTTCTACATAGTTTTTAGTTTTTGTTTTTTCTCTTGGTTTAGTTAATAATTGTTTGTACATTTAAAGAATTATTTAGAAATTTTTTATACTATACAAATTATTTTGATTATTTAATTATACTGAAGATTAATGGAGGAGATGGACTACTTAAGTAGTAAGCCAGATAGTTTTGAAGTTGATATGGAAGTTGATGATGATTGACCTTCTCCTACTAATGAATGTTTCTCAAAAAAAAGTAAATCAAGGAAAAAAAGATGAATTGGAACTTGAAATGGAGTTTAGTTCCGATAAAGGAGCACATAAGTTCTACCTCAGCTATGGTGGCACACTTGGCTTTAATGTAAGGAGAAATTATCAGACAAAAAATACAAAGGGGCTCATCATGCAGGTTACCTTTTGTTGTTCAAGACAAGGTAAAAGAAGAGAATAAGAGCAAAATTAGGGCTTGAGATGAGAGCAAACCATGACTTCTATACACACTTGAAAAAATACAAAGGGGCAAAAAGACATCTCGGAGAGTCGAGACAATATATCAACAACCATCTCTTCGAGAAGGAACGCGCAGATCGACGTCGGAGACTTTGTTGTCGGCAGTCAGGGCTCGGTTTGGGGAAATCCACTGATTTATTGTTAGTTTTAAGTTTGAAAACAAAAATGTATATCTATATTTATACCTACCTATTTTTAAGTTTTAGTAGACTTTGAGTATTTCATTATTTGTTTATTAATGGATATAAAAAGAGTTTTTATAAAAGTTTCAATAAAATTCTAACACAAATTACATATTTATCTATTTATTATTTGTTTTTTTTTAAAAAGGAAATCTAGAGAATGATATATTTAAAGAAAATAAAATAATTTCTATAAAATTTACCACAAATTAAGTATTTTATTTTCAATAAAACTGTATCACATGTAACCTATTAACTTATATTTTTATTTAACTATTTATTATTTTTAAAATAGTTTCTATAAAACTCTAACACAAATTACCTATATATCTATTTATTATGAGCTATCACAAATTACCTATTTCTATAAAACTCTACCACTAATTACCTATTTTATTTTCTATAAAACTCTATCACAAATAATTACCTATTTTATTTTCTATAAAACTCTATCACAACATATATTTATCTATTTATTGTTTTTAAAAGACACTCTAACAAAAAAATAAAAAATAAAAAAAAAATAAAAAAATAAAAAAATACCTATTTATCTATTTATTATTAATTTTTCATAAAAAGAAATCTAATTGGACAATGATATATTTAAAGAAAATAAATTAATTTTTATAAAACTCTACCAAAAATTTCCTATTTTCTATAAAACTCTACCACAAATTAGCTATTTTTATAAAACTCTACAACAAACATTCTATTTTATTTACTATACAATTCTATTACATATAACATGTATTTATCTATTTATTATGAGTTTTTTTAATAAAAAGAAATCTAATTAGAAAAAGATATATTTAAAGAAAATAAAATAATTTCTATAAAACTCTACCACAAATAGCCAATTTTATTTTCTATAAAAGTCTATCACATATAACCATTATATATATATTGGATTAGGCTTACGGTGTGCATATTTTTTCTCTTTATAATTGGTGTATTATATCAAAAGAGTTTTTAAAAGAGTAAAACTCTATCACAAATTACCTATTTATCTATTTATTTTTAGTTTTTTAATAAAAAAATCTAATTAGACAATTTAAAGAAAATAAAATAATTTCTATAAAACCCTACCATAAATTACTTATTTTATTTTCTATAATACTCTATCACATATAACCTATTAACTTATATTGTTATTTAACTATTTATTGTTTTTAAAAGACTGCTTATAAAACTTTAACACAAATTACCTATTTATCTATTTATTATGAGTTTTTTTTTTAATAAAACTGTACCACAAATTACCTATTTCTATAAAACACTTCCACAAATTACCTTTTTTTTTTTTTTTTTTTTCTATAAAACTCTATCATAACCTGTATTTATCTATTTATTGTTTTTAAAAGAGTTTATATAAAACTCTATTTATTTATTTATTATGACTTTTTTAATAAAAGGAAATCTAATTAGACAGGATATATTTAAAGAAAATAAAATAATTTCTATAAAACCCTAAAACAAATTACCTATTTTCTATAAAACTCTACCACTTATTTATGATTTTTATAAAACTCTACCATAAATGACCAATTTTATTTTCTATAAAACTCTATCACATATACCTGTATTTATCTATTTATTATGAGTTTTTTTTTTTAATAAAAGAAAATCTAATTAGACAAGGATTTATTTAAAGACCAACATGCCTGTGATCTAGCAGTACAAGATTCTTATTTCCTAAAGGGAGGTCAGGGGTTCAAACCTCAGTGGAGGCAGTATGTGTGAGTCCCAACTAGGAAAAAATAAAGAATTTATTTAAAGAAAATAAAATAATTTTTATAAAACTCTACCACAAATTACCTATTTTCTATAAAACTCTACCACAAATTAGCTATGATCGCCACTACACCAAGTGCACTCATAAACTTGGTCTTTACTCCTCTGCCACCAACTCGACATAGGGACTCTTCTCGAGCATGACAACTTCGTAACTGTGCCTTCATGCCTTGAACGATTCCCCTCGAGTCCCTATTTACCTAGCCTCCTATTAACACGTCCTTCCATCGCTTTCTAATGCAGCTCCATCGTACACTCACCCAAAGGATAAGGTCCTTCCATCATAGCACGAATCACCTCTTCCCATCGTCTCCCTCTAACGTTCGACCTTTGTCGATGTACCTAAGCCCACTTCTCACGCACACGTAACCTTACTCTGATACCAACAGTCATAGGCTAGATTTTTTCACCACTTCATCCACACCTATTGAGCACCAAGACGTTACTTCTACTCTCGCAAGGCCTTGGTCATCCTAACTCCCACACTTACTCGTGCCAACACACTCCACTCGTGTTGGAGTGACTCACGCCCTCCACTCGTCTCGCACATTCACACACACTTAGGCAATTGTTAGCAAGAGGAATAATATTTCTATTATTACTCAAATGTTGTACAAGGCTTTCTCACTCTGGAGCTTGCTGATTACAAATGACCCTATCACCTATTTATAGTCCTCCTTCTTACTCTCTAAAAAATTGTACATTAATGTAACAACCCACTCTACCACATGGTATGATATTATCCACTTTGGGTCTAAGCCCGCACGGTTTTGCTCTTTGAGTTTTATCTCAGAAGGCCTCAAACGAATTGGAATGAACGAATCTTCAATATATAACACTTCCCCTTCCCACGCCCGAGCAATATGGGATTTTGCACTCGAAGTCTACCAGCATGGTAGCCTACCAATGCCTTACACTTGCCCACAAAGTCACCACACAATCACCCCACCTCAGGTACAAAGTCGCCACATAATCACCCCACCTCAGGCCCAACATCCTTGTTTGTAATACCCCTAATTTTACAAAGGATAGTCCTAGTATTTAATTAATTGTTTAATTGCAATTTTAAGAGTTTAATTGTTTAATTGCTTGTTTGCTTGAATTATTTGTTATTATTTGACTTATCTGAATTATTGGAATTATTTGACTTAGTTGTGATTATTTGAATTACTTGAATTGAATTGTTTTATTATTATTATTATTATTATTATTAT